TCCAAAGAGGAGAATGGAGGAGAAGGGATTGCAGTGTGGCCATCCACCCTGCAGGGTGATTTCTTGCTTTCTGTCTCTCAGTCTCTCTGTGTCTTTCTGGTGAGAATACGCATCCTACGGCAAAAACTTCTCAATTAAAAAAAAAAAAAGAAAAAGAAAAAGAAAAACCTCTCCAAATAAATAAATAAATAAAGTTAAAATAAAAAATAATTCTTAAAAAAAAAACCACTTTAAATAAAAGAAAAGTCTATCTCCAGATGGCTATTACATGTCCCAGCAGCCATCCTGAGTTTGTAGAACAAATAAATTAATCCTGTTGATTTGTACACTCATCCCTCCTACTACACATCAGTAAAACAAAAGCCAGAAGTTCCTTGAAAAAACAGGCTATATCTTAAATAACCTTTGCTTTCCCATTCTTCCTTGGTATCATGACTAAACTGATAGTTAGCTATTCATAAAAACGTGTTAAACTGACTTTAATCCAATTGACTCGTCCAGGCTCTGCCGCACAGATAAGACGTTTGATGGACCTCAAAAGGCTTATGTGAAACAGAAGGATGGACGAGGATCTTTCCAATTAGGGAATATTAGAAATACAACTGAGGAACTAGCAGATGGAGGTGGAGTAGCAATTAAGGTGCTGGACTCCCATGTGGTGGACCACAATTCAAGTCCTGGATCCAGTGGCTTGAAACTCATGCTGTGCCCATGTGTGCCCAAAATCCCAAAAGGAAAATGGAGAAGGGGTTGAGGCATGGCTATCCTCCCTGGGGTGTGATTTCTCACTTTCTGTCTCTCTGCCTCTCTCTGTTTCTCCAGCAAGCACACATGTCCTATAGCAAAAATCTCTCTTAAAAAAAAAAAAAAAAAAAAAAAAAGTACAATGGAAAGGCTGGTAAAAGAGCTGACATGCTTGGACTGGAGGGACACATCGGATGCCAGGATACATGCTTATCAGGAAGGATCATGCTGCAACTTCACATCCAGTCAGTCAGCAAATCCTGTGGCTCCATCTTCAGATATGTCCAGAATCTCGCCACCAGCACTGCTACCGGGCTGGTCTACTCATTATCTCTCGCCTGGATTATTGCAAGAACCTCCTCACAGGTCTCCTGCTTCCATTCTTGTCCTCTTATAGGTTATTATCAATGCAGAGAATAGACCAAGCTTTGCTCTCAGTAAAATTATAGTCATCCCTCAGACCTGCAAAGCTGTTACCCCACATTTCTGTCTCTGACCTCATCTACTACTCCCGCTCACTCACTCCATCACTGCCACACTGGCCTCCTTGTTGCCTCTCTAACATACCAGAGATGTTCCCATCTCTGGATGACCTAGCCATGAGTACACAGGGCTGGCCTGAGAAGAGGAACCTTTAAGAGATGGTTAAGTCATGAAGGCTCAGAAGTGAGCTGCTGGTGAAAGAAAGAGTTCAGAGACGGGCAGGTGATGTAGTGGTTAAGATGCTGAACACACACATGGTCAACTCTGTGGTTCGGGTCCTGGGACTGGTGGCTTGAAAAATCACACTGGGTGTATGTGCATGCATGCCCAAAATTCTGAGATAAGAATGGAGAAGAAGGGATTGCAGCATGGCCATGCCCCCAGGGGGTAATTTCTCACTTTCCCCCTTTCTGTCACTGTCTCCCTCCTATGAGTACATACACCCCTATGACAAAAAAAAGAAAAAAAATTTAAAAGAGGAAAAAAAAGGTTTAGTTCAGCTCCTTTTCTCTCTCTCCTACCTCTCTCCTACACTTGCTTGCCTTCTGCCATGGGATGACGGCAGAAAGGCCCTCACCAAATGCCAGTCCCATACTCTTGAACTTCCCACCCTTCAGAACAGTGAGTCAAATAAACTTCTGTTTTTTATAAATTACCTAGTCTTAGGTATTCTATTATAACAAGAGAAAACGGGCTAAGACAAAATAATACAAAAGTGCCAAAGAAGCAGAGGGAAGTGAGGGCTGAGAGGACCAATGAACCTTTCTGGAAAAGGGGAATGGAAACTGATCTTGGAGCATGTGCATGCATGCCCAAAATTCTGAGATAAGAATGGAGAAGAAGGGATTGCAGCATGGCCATGCCCCCAGGGGGTAATTTCTCACTTTCCCCCTTTCTGTCACTGTCTCCCTCCTATGAGTACATACACCCCTATGACAAAAAAAAGAAAAAAAATTTAAAAGAGGAAAAAAAAGGTTTAGTTCAGCTCCTTTTCTCTCTCTCCTACCTCTCTCCTACACTTGCTTGCCTTCTGCCATGGGATGACGGCAGAAAGGCCCTCACCAAATGCCAGTCCCATACTCTTGAACTTCCCACCCTTCAGAACAGTGAGTCAAATAAACTTCTGTTTTTTATAAATTACCTAGTCTTAGGTATTCTATTATAACAAGAGAAAACGGGCTAAGACAAAATAATACAAAAGTGCCAAAGAAGCAGAGGGAAGTGAGGGCTGAGAGGACCAATGAACCTTTCTGGAAAAGGGGAATGGAAACTGATCTTGGAGCATGGATAGACTTCAGAGGGAAACTGAGAGGAATTCAGCACAATCCATGAACAGAAGAAAGGCCACAGGTGTCCAACTGGTCACACACATAAGTCTTGTTCTCATACCTGGCAATATTCCTCAAACCCCGGAAGTAACTTTGTGTTAGCATTGCCCAGAACGTGTTTCTCAGAACACATATTCCAAAAAAATACAAATCAAATCTAATTTAAAATGTGGTGGAGGAGGCCAGCAAGTGGTATGGTGGTGAGGCACTGGACTCCCACATGGTTAACCATGGTTCGAGTCCTGGACCTGGTGGCTTGATTTCTCACTCTCCCTCTCTCTCTCTTTCTGTCTATCACTGGTCAAATTAAAATAATAAGAATAATTAATAAAATTAAATAAATAATCAAAAATAAAAAGCTATAACAAAATGTGGGTGGGGGCCAGTAAGTGGTGGGGTGGTTAAGGTGCTGGACTCCCATATGGTCAACCAAGTCCCAGACCCAGCGGCTTGAAAATCACACTGAGCCCCAAAATAGACAAGTGGGATTACATCAGACTAAGAAGTTTCTGCATGGCAAAAGACACAGTAGTTAGTGTGAATCGACAACCCTCAGAATGGGAAAATATTTTTGTAAATTATGCATCAGATAAGGGACTGATAACCAGAATACACAAGGAACTAAAGAAGCTGTTTGGAAAAAAGATGATCAACCCTATTAAGAGATGGGAGAAGGAGTTGAAAAAAGCACTCACTAAAGATGACATATGAATAGCCAAAAGGCATATAAAAAAAATGCTCAACATCCCTCATCGTAAGGGAAATGCAGATCAAAACAACAAGATACCTGACCCCAGTCAGAATGTCTAAGATTAAAAAAACAAAAAATGATAAGTGTTGGTGGGGGTG